GAGAGGCTCGAAAGTCAAAAGTCAAAAGTCAATGCTATGATTTGGCAATTACAAAACATGTTGAAAGGGAAATATAATCATTTTAATTTAGGAATATTTACAAAAAAAACTACTTTTTATGTCCATATTTGCAAAAATACCATTTTTGATATCCATTTACAAAAATGCTACTAATTATGATTTTTTAGAGTTTAAATCTTAAAATTCTGAACCCTAAAAAAATTTTTGACCCGTAAAACTTCTTAAACCCTCAAAATTAAACTCTAATACAATATAGTTAACCCAAACATAAATGATATAATGAATAAATAATTTTAAAAAGTAACATTTTGTAAAAATTGTAAAAATGTAGCATTTTTGTAAAATAGCATTTAAAAAATAACATTTTTTTAATTTTTTTTTTTTAATTTATGAGAAGAATTCAGATCGGCCTGTATTAAATAACGGGCCTTTCTCTGCTATAAAGTGGTTGAATATTAGGTCCAGTTAGATATCACAAACTCACGCATTTTTTTTTTTTAACATAACTCACGCAAATTCGATAATTATGAATTAGGATACTCGAGAAGTAAATAAATAATTTTAGTATCTAACTAAAAACAATTAAGTTAAATAAGAAAATATAACGCATATTACTACAAATGGTCACTTCACTATCTAAAGTCTACCTTTTTTTATATAGTCAAAACACTATCTAAACCTACATAATACTAAAATTATTTTAGAATTTAGATAAACATCCTAGTTTTTTTATTCGCCTTTCTATATTTTTTGCTTAGTGTCATTTCTCATATATGTAATGTTTTTTTTAGAAAGAACTACACTCGTTGTTAGCATTGTGATATACGTTTGTTGTTAACATTGTGTAGGTTTGAAGATATAATAGTTCGTCTGTATCTTTTTCATATTTCTCTTTTTAATGCGGGAAATGTTCTAATTTAAATTTTTTAGAAACCAATCACCTTTAACATTGTTTAAGTTTTCTTCTTAAGAAAACAAAAAAAAATTTTCTTTTTATATTTTAGCAACATAGGAAAAGAAAATGAGACTAACGAAAGAAATTGCGAGAAGAGATCAAATAACATATTTATCTTTTTTTATCACCGCCACTAAGATAAAACAAGTTTTAGAGGCCGTGAACAGCAACCAACACCATTCACAAACCAATACATCAATGTTTATTCTATTATATATTTTTTAACTTAAAACTTACAGAACTTAAATGAAATCATAACATTTATAAAGTTAACATGTCTAATTCCAAAAACTGAAAAACTACTACATGACTCTTCTTGCGATTTTGTTTTTAACCCAACACGTGTTAGCATTCACACTTAACATTCTTAATAAAAGAATTGAGAACATCTTCGATACTGATATCACATTTGGTCTTATCATTATCTCTACATTCGTTGTTTTATTACCTTGAGCAAAAACTTCAAATGCCCATTGTCTTATCAGTATATGAATGCGTTTACTTCTCTTTTCCTCTTTTTGGTTTGTCACAAAAATCGAATTCTAAAGTTTTAATGAAATAAATCAAGAGATGCGTTAAAATTTTAAATTTGTATATTGAAAATAACATTTGCTAATCAACCATAAAATATATCTAGATGAATAAAAATAGACATGAACTTATACTTACGTATGTAGATGCTTAGTTATCCTCTCGGTTTCTTTATATCGATATTTTGATGGTGTTGTTTTCATATTTGAATTTAACATAGGTATTCGATAACCAAAACTACTGGGTAATTTAAGGAAAATGAAATCTAGTTTTAGATTTTTTAAGTTACTGGAGAAAAGTGTAGATTAATGCCAAATATAAAAATGAAAGCAACACTTAACATTCTGTTTTTCATTATGCATTTTAGATTTGTGGTTATTTTGCTTTTCATGTGCCCATAAAAATCTAATTATTTTTAACCCACTCAAGTGTTAGATGTTCAATTCTATCAATAAGAAAATCATAAAATTCCTTCAAACCTAGATAAGCAAAAGACATTTAAAGAATAAAAAGGAACAAACGTGCATAATTAAGAGAAGAAGGTTCACTAAATTTCATTTGAACATAAATATTTTGTTAAAAATGTTGACGTGTTTTTAAGATTTTGAAAATGCCTTGTCAATT